ACCCACCCACACCCACCCCAAAAAAGAAAAAAAAAAAAAAAAAAGAGACATGGTGTACTCTCGTCGGGCCTCCCACGCCAACAGTTGGTATGAGGGCTCGGCAAAGGTGCTGAAGGCAACAGTGGACGATCTTTTTGAGAGGGCCAAAGACTTTCAACTGGGTGGTGATGAGACACTTATCGGCATCATCTCGCCGCACGCCGGTATCAGTTACTCCGGCCCAACCGCAGCGCACGTGTATAAAGCCCTGCGTAATTATATCTACGGACCCAAAGGGAACAACGTCACTCACATCTTTTTGCTGGGCCCGGACCATCATAAAGGGTTTGACGGGGTGGAAATGTCTGGTGCGCAGCAGTACGAAACTCCTTTTGGTGCGCTTTCCATCGATACGTCAGTCGTCTCGAGTGTTTTTCAATCACTCAAAGCGGCTGGTGTACAAACAACACGCATGTCACAGTCCACTGACGAGGAAGAGCACTCTATTGAGATGCAGCTGCCTTTCATCTCACATATTCTTTACCACCCCCCTGCCGGATTGACAGGAGCGAAGAATCGAATTCAACTTGTTCCAATGCTTGTTGGTTGGACAGACCGTAAGACGGAAGAACGCATTGGTGCCGTCCTTTCATCCTATTCTCAGGATTCACACAATATATTTGTGCTAAGCTCCGATTTCTGCCATTGGGGATCAAGGTTCCAATACAAGTATCACTATCAAAAGTCGGAGTATCCTGCAATTGCCGATGCCATTATCGCCATGGACCATGAGGGAATGGAATGGCTGGAAAAGCGAGACATGAACGGTTGGTATGACTATCTCAACAAGACACATAACACCATTTGCGGTCGTCGGCCCATTTCCATAGGCATGGAAGCCGTAAAAAATGATAGATCGACAACTGTGCGCTTTTTACACTACTCACAGTCAAACCGCTGTGCGAGCCTTTCAGACTCCTCAGTGAGCTACGCCAGTGCTCTCATCACGCATCGTTGAAGGGGCTTTGTAGGAAAAAATAACGGGGATATATATGTATTTATGTATGTAAGTATGAGTTGTGTAGTGAATGGGGAGGTGTGATATGAAGCGACACATTGGTTAACTGACACGATCTGTGAAGTTTTCTTTGTTGTTGTTGTTGTTGTTCTTGGAATGGGAATTCTGTTCTCTTTTTTTAACGGTTTCTTTCTACTGTTTGAGTTGCTTTGCGGCAGCAGCTTGTTTTGTTTTTTTTTTTTTTCCCTCCCCCCTTTCTTTGTATATATAAATGAATATGTGTGTATGTGTGTCTTTGCTTATTGTCCCTATTGAGTGGAGTACTGCGAAGGATTTTTCTTTTCTTCCTTTTTTTTTTTTTGTGTGTGTGTGTCTGTGGAGGAGGAGGGGAGAAGTTGTGGCGATTGTCTTGACGGATCGGCGTGCGAGTGACAAACATCCCTTTACATGAAGTCCTGGAGGTTTTGATTCTCCGTGTTCATTCTGGGCGCATGGCTAGCGTGCCCTTCCGAATCCCAACGAATAAACGGGAATGGACTTTCACGCCGTGCGACAAAATACCGCTGCTGCATGGGGTGCATGCACCATTTGAATGCGTCGCGGAGGGTTGTTTTGTATTCTCTTGCGTCCATCTTTTATTTATTTATTGCTGCCAGCTTCCGGGCATTGCGGAACATTTGCCCCACTTTTGTTTATCCACGGGGGCCGCACTTCTGTCTTTTTGTCTCTGCTGTTTTTGTTTTTTTGTTTTTTCTGAAGGATGGGGAGAAGGATAAGGACGAGTAACTGTAAGTTTAATTGATCGCTGGAAGAAACGGACGAAAAAAGAAGGAGAATTGTGTAATTGCGGTTGCGCACACGCTGATCCGCACCGTTTTTTTGTTTGTTTGTTTCTTTTTGTATACATACATACATATATTACAAGAAACAGGAAGGCCACTGTGACCAATGAAGAGCCGTCAGCGTCGTGCACCGTTGAGTGAAGGGGTCGCCTTCTCCTACGAGCTTTTTGGGAGCGTCGACATCAAAAACGAGGAATTCCTGAACTTCACCGGTGAGAAGGGCCCGGGGCACAACAGTGAGATCACGGAGTTTCTGCGCAATAAGAGCTTTGCACACGGAAGAGAACCCGTGGCGAGGCAGCCATCATATTTGCAGTTCCAGCAGGCCGTGGACGTGGGGAATGGAACAGCGGAGGAATTGGGTGGACGGAACAACAGTTTTGTCAGCCTTGAGGACGCGGCGCAGCACGTGTGGTTCATTTCGCAGCGCTCTAGTGGAGCAATGCCGTTTGCCCGTAACTTTACGACAGCCGATCGGTTCCTGAAGTATGCGGACGAACACTCGCTTTTTCCTACTGAACCGCAGGAGGCGGAGATGGAGGCACCCAACGAACCCCTCACGGCGGCGAAGTGGCTGGACATCCAGACGACAAACAAGGCCCTCATCACGGAGCTTCTCACACAGTTCCCCGTGTCGGAAGAAACAATTAATAACTGTCATTATCTCGATGGCATGGATGCTCTTTCCGCGCATTCCGCACTCGGCTACTTCTTCTTCAACCTCATGTGTACTCCCATCGTACCAGAGGAAGAGACAGGCCGTTCCCGGCAGACGAAAAGTGTCATTCAACGTTCTCTTGAGGCGGCCATGGAGGACAAACCACGGTCTTCCGTGCCCGCGGCGGTTCCTGTGGCTGTCATCGTCTTTCCTCGGTGGATTATAACGGTTCATGAAAAACCTTTTCATGAACTCGGTGATTTGCTCAGGTTTTTGCACATTAACTGTAGTGATCACGGCTCCAGTGCGACACCGCGGCGTCGCAGGCAAGTTATGACAGCCCCATTCATTTTTTCCAGCTTCTTCCAGATTGTTGTTGGGCACCAGCTGGACACTGTCTCACTCACAACGGCACTGGATCGGATGGGAGATTATGTCTTTAAGGTGGAAGAAAAAGCTAAAGAGCGAGAGGAGGTTATAAAACGCATTACAAATGTTAGACGTTCCTTTGCGGAGTGTGCTGCGGAACTCACGCGACGAGAGCACATTGTGTCCATTCTCTTGCAACCACACATGATGAACTCGTTCTTGACGCAAGAGAGAGTGGTATGCCAACAGCTTGAGAGTGCCCGGGCACATCTTCTTCGTTTGAGTAAAGACGTTGGCGACTCTCGAGACACCGTCGTCGTGACGAATTGGTACCATAACGCAACTCGTACGTGGAAGATTATATGCCGTGGCAACAAGGCAACACGTCAGATGCTCCTTCTTCTGGAAATAATGAACATCATATATCCTGTTGTGGCTTTCCAAATGCTGTATACAATGAATGTCCCTGTGCCGTTTGACAGTGGGGGTGATCCGCCGGTAACGAACCTATATGCGTTTTTTGTGGTTATGGGAATTATATTGTTGTACTTGTTACTTTGTACCAGAGCGGGTTACGCATTGTTTAAAAGAAAGCGATGGAGCACACGGCTGCTGGCCGAGTAATATCATGAAATAAGCATACACCCAGTAAGCCTCTGCCATATATATATATATGTATGTATGTATGTATGATGCCTCTACTTTATCATGGAGGGGTGGCCGGGTAGGAATGAGGAAAAAAAGAGGGAGAGGAAACAATGAAGTGAATGGAGCGTACTTTTTTTGTTTGTTTGTTTGTTTTTTTTTGTTTTGTTTTTTGTTTTTGTTGGATTAATGCAGCCCAATAAAGTGAGGGGGTAAATGGGGCAAATACATAACTTTCATCTCCCCTCCACGCAGGAAAAAAGAAAAAAGGCACCAGTTCGTTCGGATTTACTTTACCTTGTTATCTTGTTTTAGATGTGTGCTTTTTTTTTTTCTGGTTTTTGGTTTTTGTCTGCGTTTCATTTGGTCCGTCCTTTTGTTTTACTGGCCCGTGTGTGTGTGTGTGTGCGTCATGCAATTCTTGTTGGCGTTGTGTCTTGTAGGGGATGGCAGGCGGTGGAGCGGGAGAGGGAGTGAGCGGAAATGAGCAAAGAAGCGCCGGGGGAAAAGAATTAAGCCGGCCAAAAGGGGGGGAATTTAATTTTGTTTTGTTTTTGGTTTTTTGGTTTTTCCTTTTCTCAGTGAAGGTGGGGGAGGGGGAGGGGGCCTCGGAGGATCGCCATTTTTCTTTGCGTGTCTGCCCCCCTCCTTTTTTCTTTTTTTTTTTTTTTTGTGTGTTTTCATTTCGCCCTTTTTTTTTATTAATTTTTATTTTTTCTTCTTTTTTTTCTTCGTTGCATGCGTTTGTGTCGTCATGAACACTTTTTCTTCTCTTTTCCCCCTTTTGTTCCCCACACACACACAAAAGCAAAAAAAAAAAAAAAAGAACAGCTGAGGGAGGAGCCGCGTTGGAGGAGTCCCTGTCGCAGGCGGTGCAAGCGAGTGGACGTGCGAGACGGAAGAAAATGTTTTGTGTTGGTTCCACGAAACTCCGTCAGGCGGTGGCGCTCTTCACCATTAAAAGCTTCCGAGCACGGCAAAAGATACTGTTGACACCACAAAATTTGGACTCTGTCTTCACGGAGAAGTTGGACCCGCAGGACCGTCTGCTGCGACAGTCGAGTGTCGGCCCAGGCGCTAGTCGCATTTTGGTGCTTGATAAGAACCAACGGGTGCGTGGGGTGTACCATCCCCTGCTGTGCCTGCCGTACCCGCTGAATGGCGATGGCGTGTTGGGAATCCCTGTTGAGTCGTATCTGCAGCGCATTCAGCAAAAAAAGCAGTCAAATGGTGACTCGACGGAGGGATGTACATTTATTGTGGTCGCTCATGCAAATGGTCTTGGCATTGCGGTTTATGCGGCAGATGGGAATGCGTGTTTCCCATTAGTGAACGTAAAGCTTCCGGCGCAGCGGTGTACGGGTCGAGGCATGATGAATGAGCGCGACATGATTCCTTTTATAGGAACGACAAGTCTTGTGGAAGATTTTGCAGAGATTATGGCAGAGAACTACAGCGAATACATACACTTTTGCAGTACCTTTTTTTTCTTGGCCAACCCCAATACTTCCATCTCGTTCCATGCTATGAGGTCAGCATGGAAATTGCGGGGCTACACTGACACGTCACCGCTGAGTTTTACCGACAATCGGTGGGTGCCGCTGCCAGACTTGGTTGCACAACGGGATCCTAGCGTGCCGCTCTACTGCCGTGATGACGGGGGTGACAAGGTGGTGAGTATAAAGGGACTCACCGCGGGGGTAAAGGTGGGAATGTTAGAACTCGATACATGAAAGGAATATATAATAAATAACAGATAAAATCGGACCGCTAGAAGAACAAGCCGCGTGCCTTTCCACATACATTTATTTATTCGTTCACATTCCCCCCTTTGTTTTGTAAACCCGCATTGTGTATCTTGCCCTGTGTTAACTTTACTGCCCCCGTTTGCTGTTGCCATCGCCGTTTTAAGAGTGGAACGCGTGAGACGAGGCAAAGTGAAATATTAGAAGAAAACGAAAAAAAAAAAAAAACGGTGCGAAAGAAGACACGCGAGGGTGTGGATTTGAAAACACGGTCTTTATAGAGTGGAGGAGGCAATACCGACGCCGTCTCACCATTATTGGCCAAAATTCCTTTTTTTGTTTTTTTTTTTTTTGCGTGTGTTTGTTATGTGGTGGAAGGGCGAGTGTGCATGAAGTTCCCTCCTTCTTCTTTCTCCCTCCATCCAACACAATTATTAACACACACACGCACATGAAATATTTAATTGGGTATGCATCATTCAGTCTAGTCTTTGTTTTGTGGGAGAAATAGAACGGAAAGGGGGAGAGGACGTGTTTGTGTGTTATGCAGCCACCTGGGAAAGTGGAGCGTTAAAAAAACATAGAGTGGGGACGAGAAAATAAATGTATAAATAAATATATGAAAAGGAAACAGGGCACGTGCGGTGTATAGAAGTCACAAAACGGGAGAAAAGAGGGTGAGTTGGGGAACAAATTGTGCGCTGTTTTTGCCAGTACACGCACATCGTTAATGATTTTGTGTGTGTGTGTGTGTGGTACTGCGGCTGACTTTACACATGACGGATTCCTGTTTTTTTGGTTTTTTTTGGTTTTGTTTTTTTGCCTTTCCGCGTCAAAGCGTCTGTCTCGCAGAAGGAAAACCCAAAAACCAAAAAAAAGAAAAAGGGGGAAGTGGCGCAAGGCAATGCGTCGCGGGTGTCAGCTGTCATTTCTCCTCTCGTCTCCTGTATGCCCCCTCGTCGTATCGACCCGTGGCATCATCGCCTGCAAGGGCATCGTAGAGAACCGCATCACGAAGCACTACTCGAACCGTACTGTTGAGGAGGCCAAAGCAGAGCGGGAGGCACAGATAGCTAAATCCAAGCATCCCAACCCGCGTAACCGCAAAGAGGAGCTGAGTCACCTCACACACCACTGCAGCTATGAGTATATCCCAGAGTTTCAGCGATGGGCAAACGACATGATGGCTGTTTACAATGATCCTCAGGGGTACGGTCATGACATGGCGTACCATTACCACCGCATCTGGAAGGCGAAGAGCCCCACAAAACGTGGTATTGAAGACGGTAGCGGGGCTTTTGAGGTGTGTAAAATCCATCCCAAGTAGAACATATGATTCTTAGCGGTTGGAGTACACACACACACTCTCTCTCTCTCTTTATTTCTTTGTACATGTGGCAATACAGTAGTGGGGACAAGTAGGGAATGGGGTTGAGGGGTCACGTTTGACTGCTCATGACTTACACGAACACGGAGAGAAAGAGATGTTAACACACGCACGCAGTTATGGGAAGAGAAAAAAGAAGGAAGGAAGCACGGAAATGATATTTTTGTTTTTGTTTTTTTTTTACTTGTATTTGTGCTCCAAATAATAATAATAACAAAACAATGTATTTTAGAATTATTATTTATTTATTTATTTATTTATTTATTTATTTATTATTATTTTTCAATTCGGATTCCTATTATTGTGTGTGTATTTGCCTTTCCTTTTGTGCGGTGGTCATTTTTCTCTGAGGAGTTTATTTCTGCATGTAATTTTTTGTGTGAATTGGGATCACAATAATGAGCCATTATTGGTCATGATATGAAGCGTTATAACTTCTTTTTTTTTTTTTTCTTCTTTTTCTCTGTGTCTATTTGCATGAATGTCTTTTTTTAGTGTGGATTGTTTCCTTAACCAAGAAAGCACTACGGGTGGGTGGGGGGCAAAAAGAGATGATTCAAAAGGAAAATAAGATGAGGAATTTGGGCGGCGGCCGAGGCAAAAATTGTTACGCCGATGATGTGCCGCATCTGCCATGGTATGGCATCCTCCTTATATTCCTATACCGTCTGCTTCTTAGTGTAAGCATCCAGACCGCAGAGTCGCCGGACGAATGGTGGCAGAGCACGGAGATAGCATACTATATCGTGTTTGGCAAGGGGCATCTTCCGTGGGAATGGCATATGGGTTTGCGTTCTGTGGTATTTCCATTTATTCTCGCCATTCCTTTCTTTCTGCTGAAGTCTTTGGGCCTTGACTCAACCTGGGCAATATGGTTTGCCGCTCGATTGATGCAAGCGTTGGTCATTACAACCATCGATCTTTTTGTTTTTCGTTTGGGTAGATTGCTGGACGTGGAATTGGGAAGGACGGAAAAAAACGCGTTGCGAGGAGCACGCATGCCAAAGCTGTTTTTGGATACCCCAACGAAGGATCCTGCTGGAAGGGTAGTATCGGACAGATCTGTTGCATACTTTGCCTTGTTTCTTTCTTTAAGTAACTGGTATATCTCGTATACTGGCGTTCGTACGTACAGTAACGTAGTAGAGGCAATGTTGGTGCTTATTACGGTACAAGAAACAAACTATATACGATTTCTTTTATTTAGCGGATTGGCATGTGCTTTTCGTGTTACCTCTGGCGTTGTTCTTTTTCCTCTTGTATTTCTGCATGTTGCGTGGGCCGTGCGGGAACGCGGAGTATGTCGAGGTTTGATGCGGATCATTCTCTGGGGAATTGTTATTTTTTCACTGTTGGTTAGCGGAATTGTGGTTTCAGACAGTTTGTTTTATAATCGCTGGGTCGTCACACCATTGGCTTTTTTAAAATTCAACGTGTTGCAGAATGCCAGTCGTTTTTTTGGGGAGCATCCATGGCATTTTTATTTGTTTCCATGTCTCCCTGCTCTCCTTGGCCCTCACGTCCTCTTCACTCTCGCCGCGCCGCTCGTGCTGTGGCAAGAGAAGGTGAGTAAGGCAGTGGCGTTAAAAATCTTTGGATTGTTCTCTTTTATTTTATGGCCCATTGCGTGTTACTCCTTTATTGACCACAAGGAGAACCGCTTTATGACCACTGTGTTGCCAATTTGTTTTGTGGTGACAGCCTTCGTTTTGGCACGACGATACGACCGGTCACTTTTCGTACGTCGCCTTCACAAAGCCTTTTTTGTTTTTAACGTAACGGTGTTGATTCTGGCGGGTTACGTGCATCGCAGGGGCCCGTTGGATGTGATGTTGGAGGTTCGAAATGGGCCAAAGATGGATCGACTTGACATTGTTACACGATGTTATGCGACACCTGGCTACAGTTTTTTACATGGAAAAGTGAACCACCTGGGCCTTATCGATTGCCCCGTTTACCTCAACACCGAAACGGGGCTACCAAAACCCACGGAAGATATTATGTTCCGAAAATACCCAAAAGATTACGTGTTATGGAAATACGATGGGATACACACGTTTAACATCAGTAATCCGGATGGAAAACGCAGTGCTGATGAATTGGGGCAAATTGTTTCACCCATGTCTTCTCCTCATCCAGATGTGATGGTGATGTATCGTGACACTGCAAACAAAATAAAGCACCTCTTTTTGGAAAAGCACGGGTACAAATTATATCGGTCGTTTTTCCATACACCGTTGCTGATAGAACCGGGTGAAGACAATTACATGGAAATGTGGGTACGAAACGTTTTTCAGGCCAATTAAGTGGAACATTTCTGCGAACATACGTATTTATATATCTATATGTATGTATATACCTACGGTTATTGTGATCTGTGGTGGTTTGAAAGGGGAATTACGGTGACGTGTGTGAAATATTGATGATTTTTGATAGGGGACGAAGAATTTTAAACGAAGCACAGTTTTGATTAGACAGTGCACTTTTGTTTTTTGAAAATATTGCACCACTCACCCCAATTGCTTGCGGTACATATTTTTTGTATTTTTGATTTTTGTGTTTTCATTTATTTTTCTTTTTTTTGTGTGTGTGTGTCTTCCTTCTTGCCTTTGCACGGGGGAGGGCGTGTACGCGTGACGGGGGGCACGCATGTTGGGGGAGGAAGAGGAGCGGAAGGCGGCTGTTGCCTTTTATCTGCAGGAACAGGATGACGCCGTACTGTGCGCCTTTGGACGCGACTACTTTGACGGGGCCCGCAAGGGTGCAGCTTGTGGCGGTGTATTTACGGCGTGGCTTTCCCGTCGGACTTATGTCGACCTGCGGGAGGACTTTAAAGAGCACGAGGCGAGTCTTCCACGGCATTTGAGACGTGGAAAGTGGACGATTTCACGTGGCTTTCGAACTCGACCGTTTTTAACGCTTGGTTGCATTTCACTGGCGCTAACAACATTGATGAAGTCTGTCAAGTTTACGCTTGCCAACTACCGCTACCAAGAATTTGTTGCGGATGACATTGGATTCACACTGCTGGAGCAAATGTGCGCCAACTTGCCGGAGGGAAATGAGAGATTTGAGAATCTTTTGGATGAGGCTTTGACGAATTCTAGAGCGGCATCTGCATCGCCCTCTGACGGCGTTGCGAATAGTCGCATGCCCAAGAAAAAAACTGTTACGAGTGCACTTATGCAAGAATCGTCGTCTTTGCGTGAGCGAAAACCCCCGTCATTTTGGGATGGGGTGGCGGTGGGCCTCATGGGCTCCGTCATGGACTGTTATTTGCCGTCAAGGCCGGTCCACACTTACTACGGCATGCAGTGTGGAATGAGGATGTGACATCAGTGGGGAATGGCGATGACTCCCTTCAGGATCCTGCAGTGGATGAATGCATGAATGAATGGGGCGGCTTGTTTCAATTTCTTTTCTTGATTTTCCTACGAGAGCGAAGCTAACAGATTTGTGCCGTCCGTGTGCTCTTTCGCACCACCATTTTTATCCCTCCCTGTCTTTTTTTTTTTTTTGTTTTTTTTTTTTCTTTTGTCTGTTTGAATATTCCCTATTCATTAGCGTGGATGGGGGAGTGTGGCAATTTGCTGCTGCAATGGTCGTTTTTATTATGGGTGCGCCAAGGGCCAAAAATGGAGCCCCAACAAGCCGTTCGATTTTGTCGAGGATGCAAAGTGTTTCGTATCCCCAGGTAATTCCTGTTGCTGCTGAGGCTCAGCAAAACCTGGGAACGTCACTTTCTTTGGATAAGCCCAAAGTTGTTGAGAGACGCGCCAGCCTGAGCAGCGGAATTATACCCCTGCGTCGTTACAGTCATACGGATGCCATCGATGAGGATTTTGGGAGTGAACGCATCTCTGAAATTTGCAGGCAAAAGGAACTTATTTTTCAGGCGTTTTTGCGTGAAAGTGATGAAATGGCAGGCACAATGCTCCACGGACACGTAGGGTACAGTATTCTGTCTGAAATGGACTCCCCCCTCTCTTTATCTCGTCGGACATCACCATGGAAACGTTCCCGTACTCCTTTTTCTTCTCATGGTCGGGCGATACTTTACATCCATGAGTCGTCGCTGTCGGTGCCACCCGTTCCTTGCCGAGGCGATCTTTTTTATGCCTCTCTCAGACGCCGTTCAGTCTGCATCAGTAATTCCTCTGGATATGTTTCTCCTGTGGCATCGCCAATGAAGATGCTTCCATTGGATGTGAAGATGTTTGCGTTGATCGTGCTGGAGGAGATGATGGCACGCCACGACCTGACGCTTCGCGAGGAACGTTTACGGAAGCGAATTGAGGGTAAAGAGGTGACTGCTTTTTTGCGTGTGCATTTTGTTATCCGAACCAGTGCGCATTTTCATCAGACGCGGCTTTTCTCTTTGAAAGATATACGGCGCGAGGAGCTGCAGTACCTTCGGGATGGCATTCAGCGGCGCGCCAAGCAACAAGAGGAGGAGCATCGCGTATTTATGTGCCGTCTGCAACCGGAGCGATTGCCGCCAATTAAAATCCCAACTCTCACAACTGCTGGGCAGCCTTACGGGTGCACTCGCGTGGACCTTGAAGTTGCAAAGGCATTGGCAATGGAAGAAAAGACGTGGGAAGCTGCAGGCGGGCGGAAAAGGTTTTTTTTCCCTCAGATTCTGTAATGTAAAGTTAGAGATGTGTGGAGGGCGAACAGGGAAAAGGGCGCATGTGTTTTCTTTTTTTCTACCCGTTTTGGAAACAAACTTGCATCATCCCACCTAAAAGAATAACTTTTTATTTATTTATTTATTTTTGAAAAGTTTTCTTTTTTTATTGGGTTTTTCGTTCTGGCAAATAAATTGAATTGTTTGCTTCTGTTTTGTTCTGTTTTTGTTTTTTGTTTTTTTCTTGTCTTTCCTGCTTTCTTTTGCTTCTGTGAGGTCCAACACGTGTATGTACGTTCTGCCGTAATGAAGGCAGATTCAATGTGTCACATGTATTAGAAAAGTAGGAAAGAAAAAGGAATGCCTCTTTTGTTTTTTCCTTCTTTTTTTTTCCTTTAAGTTTTTTTTTCTTGTGTGTGTGTGTGTTTATTACGGCGGGGATAAATTTGATGTTGGCAACGCTGTGTCCCTTGCCTTTTTTGTGCGTTTTGTCGAGTCTTGTCCTCTCAATAGACCCAACATGGTGGGGCGTGTGTGTGTGTTGTTTTGTCTCCTTTATCAATTCTTTCTTGTTTTTTTTTTGTTTGTTTGTTTTTCTGGCTGTTGGCGGAACAGCAAATAAAGAGGGGGCGGGAGGTGGTGGTGGAAAAAAGAGGGAAATTGGTCAGGGTGAATAACAGACCACGTGGCAACCCACACGCCGATGTTCCAGGCGTTTCCACTGCAGCACAAGAGGATGACGCGGCTCTCGCTGCCTTTCATCAGCGTTGGTGTCTGCGAGGTTATGAACTGCGCCACCAGGGACCACATGAGCTCCTTCACTGTTCACAACACACGCAACCGTGGGGCCCATTTGGCCGCGACTGGCAGCAGCAGCAGCCACTTTGAAGCAGTCGCCCCACCATTGACGTTGTCTGTGCCGTTTATGTCCGAGGTGGTGGCAGGTGGTTTGTGTGACAGCTTTACCGGGAACTATTGCTCCCGCTACATTGGGAAGTATCTTGCCCGTGCACTTAGTATTCATTCTGTGTTGCCTGAGGGCATTGCCCAGCTCCGTCGGGAGCTAAAAGATGATCCTATTATCAATTTACTGATGGCTGCACACTCTCGGGAGCGGCTGCTACACAGCCGAAAGTCACACGCCGATAAAAAAACGCCACAGGGGGTTAGTCGTGTGTTCTCTGAGTGGGAAATGCAACAATACGCCATGTTTGCTGATAACGCATTTATGAATGCTTGTCGAGCAAATGAGATGGTTGGAGGGTTAAATGACAAACTTTTGTTGCGGAATAGCGAGGCAGCCAATAGTGGATGTCGCGCAGTGTGGTTCACAGCCACCGTAGCACCCGTTGCGCTCCAAGAAAGGCGGCAGGAGCGCAGGCGTGAAGTGGATCAAGGAGGGACCGCGCCACCCCCTATACGATGGGAAGCAAAGGCAAAAGGGTGTGAAGACTCCGTGGAGGCGTGTAAGGGCACTGCGCCGACCTCACCCTTCTGTCTTGACGTGTTGGTGAGCAACGTTGGCGATTCACGTGCATTTGGCATAGCGAGGAACACGTTGACGTCAGAAGCTCGCAGTATTCTTGACGCCACCAGAGAGCACGTGGTTCCTCTGAGCTCGGATCACAAGCCACTTCGAACGCTGGAACTCCGTCGTATTCTTAGCGCTGGTGGAGTTGTGCGATCTGACGTGGGTGATATCATTGACGGAAATCCCTTTTATAACGTTTCCAGAAGCTTTGGGCATTGGTCAATGAAATGTGATTCACAGAGACCGCCGAGCGAGCAGAAGATGATTGCACTGCCAGCATGCTGCTCGTGGGAAATGATTCCAGGGGATGTATTGGTCCTTTCTAACCATGCGATTTTTGAAACGCGTTGTCAAGAGGAATCGTCAATGGATGAGATTGCTAAAGTTGTGGTACGTGAAATTGATCGTGGTGCCTCCCCGGAGGAAGCTGCAGCTGCATTGTGCAACTACTCCATCCGCTTTGGTGCCGAACACTCATTGCAAGTGATGGTTGCTGTAGCTACGTCAGCCGACTCCGCTCAGGCACCGTGCGAAGCGAAGAAGCAGGAATGGATTGTGCCGGGGCCCATTTACGCAGAGCCCTGCCGCCGATC